ATCTGTTGTTTCTTTGGTGGGTATTAATCGCATAATTTTGAGAAGAAGTGCTATGGCCAGTGATCTCCAGGGGCTACCTGCTTAAAATCTAATGGCATGACCAAAAAAAAACACACCAAAAAACAGTTTGTGAAAGGAAATAAGAATACATAAATCTATAGAAGTAGGGGTATGTTAACATGGGGAGGAATTTCTGAAAGAGAAAAAGTAGATGTAATTAGAAATGGAGTAAACCAGAGCTGAAAATGTGCAAAGAAGCCTGTCACACAGGAATGTGGTTTTAGAGGGGTTGTGAGCTTCATAGTGGCCAATGAAACCGGAAGTGGACCTGGAGCTCTTGTCAGGATGATTAACAGGGGACGTAGGTTGGAGCAGCGAGGCTGTTGGATTCCTGCCGGCTCTTCCTGCCACACTCCCCACACTCCACCGACCTCAGTAGGCAAAGAGTAGGAGGCTTAAGAGTGGATGGTATTTGCCTCTAGACTAGAGAACATGAATCAGAGTGCGGAGGAGACAGTGGTTTCCCATTACAAGCCTTCCATTATTATTTGATTTTTTTGGATTTGTGAAAAACAAGTGCGTATACCTTGTTTTTTAAATGTAATAAATGTTCAAGTTCAAAATACGTGTGTCATAGGGTTTTTACCTCCTTGGTTCCTTCCCTTTGCCAACATTTTAGAAAACTGAACATTTTAATAGCATTTTAAAATCAGTACTAAATATCTGAATTGGGTGCTGTACCTTTTGAAGTTGTTATTCATGCTTTTTTCATCTTAATGCATGCTCACAAATCAGCAACACCAAGAGGAAAATGAAACATGGTTCATGACAATCATTTTAGTTTGTTGTGAAGCCAAACAGGTTTTTAGCAATGACAACATACTTATTACTAAATTGCAACTTTAATACCAGTAAAGACAGAAATTGAAGGTAAAAAATATGTTTATAAGTTAGTAGTTAATTTTTGGAGTTTTAAAATATTTCTGGAAAAACTATACAGCTTTTTTGTGCTTTCCTGCCTAGCTGGTTCTGAGTAATTCTCTTTATAGGGACCATGGTCAGCAACGTTTGAAGCAAATGGAATGTTTTCTTACCGGGTTTAACTTTATGTTTTTTCATATTTTGTTAAGGCTGCAGTTGGTAAATGTATTTCTTCTGAAATCTCTCGTTAATGTTGAATGTTCAGGCCTCTCTTTTATATTTGCACAAAATCCCATTACACTGGTTGGTCTGTCTAGATAGTCATGGGGCTGAAGAGGACTAGTTTTGATGATAACAAAGCAGAAGCCTGGGGCAGGTCATGAAATACATATTTTTACAGGCTCCCCAGGTAATTCTTATACCTAGTGACGTTCAGTCACCACTCCTGCAAGAGTGGGAAAAGCATAGACTTACAGAGTTAATTTTGTATTAAAATATGGACTTTTCTTAATGCTTCACCTTGGCCAAGTCTCTCCCCAAGTCCTCTGTAAAATGGGGCATTGAGACCCACCTTTCTGAGTGGTCTTGAGTAGTAGAGGTGAAACCTTAGGCCATCTACCTCCCCCCGCCACACACACACCTGGATGAAAACCTGGAGCGTGGGGCAGGTCACCAGCATGGTGCACACATGCGTGGCAGGCTCCCGCTCCCCCTCCCACCATCTCCAGTCCGTGCTTCTGCCCCATAGTGATGGCCATGGGCATGGCGAGGCCACTCGAGATGGCCCAGACGAGCGACAAGAAGAGGCGGGTCCTGTGTGGTGTCAACAGGTGGCGATCACACAGGGGCTGACACAGGGCCAGGCAGTGCTCAGCGTTCAGGCTGGCTATGCTGAACGCCGTGGCGTCGGCGCACAGCTCGTGCATGAAGTAGTTGGCGCGGGAGCCCAGGTCACCGGAGACTCGGGTGGTGGAACCACACGAAGCTGTAGAGCTCCACGGGCACGCTGACCAGCTGCCGCCGCCGCAGCAGCAGCAGCAGGGAGGAGAGTGCCAGGCTGAGCACTCTGTAGCACAGGCGCACACGGCGGCCCTGCCCGCGCCTTCAGCACCAGGGCCGCGGACAGCGCATGGCCCGCCCCGCAGAGTGAGAAGATGCGCGAGTAGAGCGAGGGGAAGTGGCACCTTGGCCCAGAGGCGCAGGCTCACACCCAGCCGGGCTTAGCGCTGGGCTGGGACTGGGCCTCAGGGGCTGCGGGCTGCTGGTTATCATCCCCCTTCTGCAGCTTGCGCTCTCTCCCTCTCACTGCTGGGAGACTGCGAGCTGTCCGGGTTAGGGAGCGTCCCCTCCTCTCTGGGAACCTCTATGGGAAGCCACGCCCCTGATGGGTGCCCCTGAGCAATGTGAGACCGTGTCAGACGGTTAGCTGCATTCATATTTCTCAGTTCAGTTCCATGCAGAGAAGCACATGCTGGGTGTAAAGTGTGCCTTTGGGACCTACCTGAGACATAAGTGGGGCCGATCACCACCACTTTCTAGCTGTGTGAACTTAGACAAGTTTTTTAACCTCTCTCAACCCATCTCTGTGTTTTAAAAATACTATCTTCTTTGTGGAATCTTGTGAAGAATAAATGAGTGAATCTGTGTGAAAGCTCAGGACCTGCAGTATAGCATGTACCACGAGCTGTGCTACAGTCCCAGACAGCCGGTCAAGAGCTTGCCAGCTCGTCAACATTTTGCAGCTCTTATTCTCCTCGGAAAGGGCTGTTTCAGTGCTGCGCTAATATCCTCCAGGAAGTCCTTTGTCGTTGGCAGTTGCATCCTCATGGTGTCATGTGTTCCCAGTCCTTTAAGGATGTCATGCTCATGGAGCAGTGGGAGGAAGTGTCCCATCTGATTTCCACTGGGACCTTGACTGACCTAGCGTATGTGTGAGATGAAGGACTGTTAGCTAACATATACACAGAACTCTGGCAGCCCAACAATAAGAAAACCAACAACCTAAATTAAAAAGTGGGCCAAAACCTTAACAGAAACCTCCCCAAAGAAGATATACAGATGGCAAATAAGACTTTGAAAAGATGTTCCACATCATGTCATCAAGAAAATGCAAATTAAAACAACGAGACATCAATAGCAATTAGAATGCCCCAACTCTAGAACACTGACAACACCAAATGCTGTCTAGGAGGTGCAGCAACAGGAACCCTCTTTCACTGCTGGTGGGAATGGAAAATGGTGCAGCCACTGCGGAAGGTGGTTTGGAGGCTTCTTAACAAGGCTGAACATACTCCTGATCCTATATGTCCCAGCAATCGGCTCCTTGGTATTTATCCAAAGGAGATGAAAACTTAGGTCCACATGGAAACCTGCACGCGGATGTTTATAGCAGCTTTATTCATAATCGCCAAGACTGGGAAGCAATCAAGATGCCATTCAGTAGGTGATGGATAAACAATCTGGTCCATCCAGACAATGGAATAATATTCGTTGCTAAAAAGAAATCAGCTCTCTAGCCATGAAAAGACATGGAGGGAGGGACAGATGACAAAGCGAGCCCAGAGGATGTTTAGGGCAGTGAAACTACTCTGTATGATACTCTAAGGGTGGCTACATGGCATTACACATTTGTCCAAATCATAGAATGTACAGCACCGGGAGTGAACCTTGATGTCAACTATGGGCTTTGGGTGATAACGTGTCATATAGGTTCATTAGTTGTGACAAATGGACCACTCTGGTGGGAGCTGTTGACAGTGGGGAGGAGATCCATGTATGAACAGGAATTATATGGGAATGCTGTACCTTCAGCTCAGTTTTGCTGTGAACCTAAACTGTCCCTGCCTCAACACACAAAAAGTTTATTAGTCAAGAAACAAACCCTTTCTGAGTTTTCTTCATGCTGTGCCCTCCCCATTGTGTGAAGTATGTTGGAGCTGAGGATGAGTAAGGCCAGGACTCTGTCCTGAGGGGCCCTAAGGTGGTTGGGATGATGAGGCATGAACCCACAGGTCACTCACCTCCCTGGCACACTCTAAGTGTCAGGTAAGGGGGTGGACAGTGAGGACTCACCGAGCTCCACCTTCTCCTGGCCAGGGGAGCCTCTCGGAGCCTGTTTGCTCTTCTGGGAAACGGCAGTGCCTAACCTTGAGAACTAGAGAGGGTATGTGTAAGGAAAACACTTGGCACATGGAAGGAACTCAGAAATGTCGGTCCCAACCTCATCCTGTTCCTCGAAGATCAAAGGATAGAAAAGCCATTACGGGGTGGATAAACCAGGGAGGGCTCCGTGGAGGAAGGAGGCTTGTCCTGGGCCTAGACATGGGCGAATTGGAGAAGAGGAGGGGAAAGGTGTTCCCGGAAGGGGTTAGAGCATGAACTGAGATTCAGAAAGGGGGCAATTCAAAGTGCTCTTGGGGGGTCACAGGTGACTCCCAGACTCTGGACTGGCAGCCCGGGAGACAGGGCATCCTGTGGATTGCTGACAGTCGGGGTTTTAGAGCGGGGAGGAAATTCTTGGTCCTAGCTGTGCTCCCATGGGGCAGTGATGGAAGTCCTCAGGAGTCCTATTATAGAAATGCGGGAAAGCCTGCAGCTGATGGAAATTCAAAATAAAACAGGCTCAGTTTCTTCATCTGTGAAATGGAGCTAGTAATGCCCGCCTCAGGGTTATTGTGTGGATTAGTAGTAGCTACCTCTTTGTGAAGATCTAGTACGGTGCCAGGCGTTGTGTCAAGGACTCTCAGTGCGTGGCCTCAAGTATCCCCACAACACTGTGACAGACACACTCTATTTTTATCCCCGTGTTTCCCAGATAAGGAAATGAAGGCCCTTAGAGGCTGAGTGACTTGCCCTGAGTCAGAACAGCTTCTAAAGGGCAGAGTCAGACCAGGAGCCCAGGCCTGAGTGACTCATACTGAACCATCACACAGCTTCTTGGGAGCCCTGTCATTGCTCACGCCCCATTTCTAGGCACACTGGACAAAGCAGTGCTGGCTCTCAGCAGCCCTTCATAGCAGCAGGACGCTTGTCAGCCCGATCACTCCATCTCCAACACCACTGCCATCAGGGCAGTGAAGCTACCCCAGCTGGGCCCTGAGCATCGAGCACCACACCCCGTCTCGCTCGCACCAGAGGAGGCTGCACAGGGCTGCACCTTCCTAACTGAGGCGGTGACGCGGGTCCGCTGTGTTCACCGCCTCCTGGGCACGTACTGTGCTGTGCTTCCATCAGATTCTGGTGAAATGCTGAACACCACCAGGTATAATTACAATCTTATCACTCATTGGTCATGAGGTTCTTAAAATATCCTGACAGGATGAATTAAAAATAGAGTGGTGGTGACCCAGCTCAGCAGAAGTGTCTTAAACTGTTGTTATTCTCTCCCGGCCTCAGGACAATTCGGGGTGTTAAGACTGTGGGGGCTTTTCCAGGGCTGGGCCGGCGGCACTCAGCTCTGAGGCTGTGCACATTGGTCCCTCCCAGGCACTCTCTCTGCTTTTCCAGGGTGAGGAAGGTGGGGGCACCAGTGTGGCCAGGATCGTGGCACAGTGACCTGGGGACACAGATCCCGGATTGAGTACCTTTCTGCTCCTTACCAGAAGCAGCACCTGGGGAAGCCACTGATCCCCCCAAACCTGTAAAAGGAGGGCAGTTATACCCCCTGCATTAGAAAGGGCACCCCTTTAATGTATTCTTGCATGTCCCTCTCACTGCAACCCCAGGTGGACTGAGAGGAGGAGACCATAGGAAAACCGGAGAAGGCTGAGCTGGGGAGGGATTGGAGAGCCAGAGAGGGTGCTTTAAAGAGCCACCAGGGGCCGGCTGAGTGGCGNCTCCTGGTAGATGATGGCTTCCTCCTCATCTTGGGGTATCTGTGCTTCTTTTATTCTCATCCTTTTTCTCTCTCTCTAGCTGTTATCATGCTGGAGGGGTCAGAATGACAAACATGCATTCCCTATGATGTAAAAAATTATTCCAATCCAGCTGGGATCCCTAACCGATCTACGTTTTTCCTTGGCTGGTCTTCACTCTGACCCTTGGGAAAAATTTGGTCTCGTGGGAGGACAGGGCGTGTAGGTAGGAAGGTAGTTAGACCAACAGGATGAATGAATAAACCAACATGAGTGATGTCTTGGTTATGCGAGGAGCCGAGAAGAGGGAGGGCGGATGGCGGGACAGATGGGGAGAACTGGGAGCTGCACTGGGCCTGGATGGGTGGGCGGCTCGGGTGGACGAAGGTGAGGTTAGGCTGTGAGGTGGAGTTGGGCAGGCATTCACGCTGGAGCTGAGAAAGCTTGGTTTGCGCTGGGACCAGTCTCACCTTCCAGTTCTCCTCCTCTGTTCACTTCTTTGTCAGTCAGTGTTTCTTCTGCCTCCATCTTGTCTCACCTGCCAGACCTGCCAATCACAGCTGCAGTGTCTGCCTTGCTAAGGTTATGAAGCGTTCCAAAGGAAACAAGAGGTCGCTTGGATATCTGATCCTTCTCTTCCAAGCAGCATCATATTTCATTATTGCAAGTAGAATCCAGGCAGCAGGCTTCATTTGGGTAAAGTGGCCTGTTTTCTTCACATGCCTCCACCATTGTCTGTGCAGGTGCGACCTTGTG